GAGTAGACAAGTAGACAAGAATTATAAAGAATTATAAAGAGGATGAGTAACTGGGGGAGGGACTCCTTTTGGGGATGGAAAACCAGTTCCTAAGGAACGGCCGGCTCCGCCTAAACTCCAGCTTGAGCTCAATTCTGGATATATGGGCTTCCCGAGACACTCAGAATGGTTGTCTAAAATTTTTCCAGTAGCAAAATAAAATCCAAAAGGTGAATTTAAAAACAAATCTTATTTTAATTCAAGTCATGAGTTCACTATTTCTTGTTTGACTTGGTTACAGTTAGAAGTCTTGGGGATTTCCCTTCTCCACATGGGAAGAAAATAAAACTGTCCTGTTAGAGTATCCCCAGGTGGTCATTCCTGGCCTGGCAATTCCTGCTGGCAACTGAAGTACCTGACATTGTCACCCTCCAGGGCTCTTTCCTCCTGTCAGTGAGTGAGGGGCTAGCAGCTCTTTGGGCCCTTCTCTCTATGAACTAGGAAGTGGACCAGTGCCACTTGGGGGTCTGAGGGCCAGCCTCCTCTTTTCTCTGTGGATCTGTTTGTGCTTTGCTGGAAGTGTGAGCAGTTGTGTAAGCAGAAAGTGTCAGTGACTCTGTCCCCTCCTGTCTAGGGGCTTACAGAATACTGCGGAAGGCCCAGAAACCCAGTGTGTTAAGGTAAGCTCTTAATGTTTGGGGATTGGCTGGCTAAGGGGATGAGACAAGAGCCACATACAGGTTTTGTCCCTAGCCAGAGACGCAGCTAGGAAAGTAGAAGGCTTCCAAAGCCATCCGTCTTGGGTCACTTCAGCAGTGTTTGCAGAGGCACAGAAGTCTCCTGTCCTTCAAGCACAGCCATTTAGATGAGAATTGAATGAAATGCCCGTACACCTAGCTGTTCAGGATGCTACTTGACCGCATCTAGCTCAGAAGGGCAGCTTCAGTGTTCTTGTCTCCACAGGCCCTAAAACTTGACTCTGTTTATATCTGGAAGTCTCCCTAGTTCCCAGTCTTTGTTGTAGGTAGCCAATGAAACAGCCCTGGTGATTGTAAATTTAAAAAAGTAAAAATAAAAAAGAAAATAAAAGAATTTTTTGCCTCCACTGAGTTGGAGCTTCAGACTGGCCAGCTGGCCTCTGGGTGTGGAGGCCCACAAAGGAAGGCCCTGTCCCTGTGACTTTTACTCTTTAGCATGCCTTTTGTTCTTTGAATGAAGTGTTTTTGCAGCCTCGGAAGCCAGCAGAGCCAAGTGTGGTTGTGAATACCTGTAATTCCTCTTTAGCAGGAGGATCTATAGTTCAAGGCTTGACTAAGTTCTATAAAAAAACATGTCACAAGGCGCAGTGGCACGCACCTGTAATCCCAGCACTCAGGGAGGCAGAGGCAGGTAAATCTCTGTGAGTTTGAGGCCAGCCTGGTCTACAAAATGAGTCCAGGACAGCAAAACCCCAAAGCCAAACAAAGACGATACTCACGCAAGTATGAGGTCTGAGGTTGGACGAATGAGATTCTTTAAGTAAGTACTCTGTGGGATGGGAACACCCACTAAGAGAGAAGTTTTTAGTGGAATTTTGGCTTTGTTTGAGTATTCCGGATTCTTAAAATAAACATCTTTATGTGTATGATGTGCGTAAGTGAGGTGCACCCGAGCCACAGTTTGTCGAGAGGAAGAAGGTGGCTTCCTGGAGACCAGGCTGAGGGCCTCAGGAGTGCACCTCCGGCTGAGCCTTCTCACGGGCCCTGGGCTTCCGTCTGCTAGGAATGCCAGCCTGGCAGCCAGTGAGTTCCATGGTCCAAGCTAGTCAATAGGGTTGATAGCTGATGCTCCCGAAGGTAGCCAGTTCTTGGCCCAGGTGAGGTGCGCGTTTGTCCTGAACCAGCCACTCTCTGCTCCGGATGAGTGAGCCTGTTGATGCAAGGCATTTAGAGTTTGTATTCCTGCGTTAGTCATCTCTGTGTCCACTGCTGCATGAGCTTTGTCATTCAAACGTGACTCCTAGTTTTAGGGGAGTGCACTATGGTTTATCCTTTACTTCCCTGGATAACTAACTTGAAATAAGAATATACTTGGCTGATCCTGAAATGTGTTGATTTTTTTTGGTTTTGGTTTTTTAGTTTTACCATGTCTGCAATCTAATTTTCTTTCAATTTTTTTTATATTGAAAACAGATTTTTGTCTCGTACAGTATATCCTGATTATAGTCTCCTCTCTCATGCTTCCCTCTTGCTCTCCATCCTCACCCCTCTGGATCCTCTCCCTTTCTGTGTCTCCTTAGAAAGAACAACCAAACACGACAAAATAAAATATAAAAAATATCGAAGTTGGACATGGCAGCCCAACAGGAGAAAAGAGAAAAAGAGTTCCAACAGCAGGCAAAAAAGGCCTGTTCATTCTCATGGTCAGGAGTCCTATAAAAACGCTAAGCTAACAGCTATAATGTATATGCAGAGGACCTGGCGCAGAGCCGCGCACACCCTGTGCATGCTGCTTCTGTGAGCGCATACGCACCTTCCCTGCCCAATTCAGAGGGCCAGGCTCTCCTGGTGTCCTCTGTTCCCTGACTTTTACAGTTCCTCCCCCTCCCCTTCCATGGGATTCTCTGAGCTCTGAGGGGAGAGATTTGACTCTGTTTCTGAATAATGTCTGTCTATAGGTCTCTGCGTCTGTTCCTATGTGCAGCAGAGGAGGCCTCTCTGGTGATGACTGGACCAGGCACTGATCTATGAGTGTAGCAGAACATCATTAGGAATCATTTTATTCGTTTTTGACCAGTTGTGCTAGGTTTTACCCTAAGTCTTTGGGCTATCTAGTCTATGGTTCTTGGTTACCCAACCAGTGTTGGGTATGGGCTCCTTCTCATGGGATGGGCCGTAGATCAAATTAGACATTGGCTACTACCACAGGTCCTGTGCCATTGCCCTAGCATATTTTGCCAGCGGGACAGATTGTAGGCCAGAGCTGTTTATGGCTGGGTTAGTGCCCACATTTCTCAGTCGCCTGCAGAGAATCCTCCTGCACCAAACAGACTAAATCGTCGGGGTGAAGGCTCCATTTTCAATGAATGTGGAATTTGAAAACTTATTTCAGGTTAATGACAAGAATTGATCTCAAGTATGAAGTACTCCTCCTTTGATAATTTATGAAATCAGAACTTAGAGGTAGAATTTATTAATAGAAGATAATGACGGTTTATACACTTAAAAATTGCTTCCATTATTTCATGATTTTATCTTTTTCTCTTTCATTTCTTAGTGACATTGACCAGCAGTACTTAAACTATATATTCAGGTAAGAGAGAATTCACATTTTTCCTGCTTAGAGATGAACTTGTGTGTTCCAACAGTATTTGGATTAGAGATTTTTAAATAAATTGCCTGCTAGGAGCAGGTTTAAAATTCTGTGAGTTGATGACAGTCTGAAGATTCTAAATGGTTGTCGTGCCCTGATCCTAGGCAAGAGGTGCCTGTTCGGCCTTGAATGTTAGAGGGTCCCACCCTTCTCCCGGAGGGTGGTGGATATTTATTCTAGTGCCCACACCTTGCTTCTAGACTGAATCCTGAATCCCTTACCCAAGTGTCCCTGAGCTCAACTCTTGTCATCATCACCTAGCATAGTGTGTGGGGGGAGAAGGGCTCCCCTGTGTCTTCACACACACAGACAGACACACTGACAAACATACATATAGAGACATAGATAGGCACACCACACCACACAGACACTCATATACTCAACACACACATACACACACCACACCAGACACCACTCAGGATACAGAGCAGAGGGTCAGAGGCCAGATACCTTTAATGTGAAACTTAGACACTCTCGGGATTCTAAATTCTAATTACACTTCAGGCTGTTTTCGTGACGTATTTGTTAAGGTTAAGCCGTGTCTCAGGCTTAATGTACAAACTTTTTAAGTATGGCGTATGGACTCCTGTGTGCCCAGCAGAGGGTGGGGTTGTCCTGCTACATGGGATAGCTCAGGATGGCTCCTGGGCTTCAGCAGCCCCAGGAGTGCACTGCTGTGCACTGCAGACTTGACTGAGGCCGTGAGGCTTGCTGCTAAGGATCCACGCCTGCCTACACACAGACTGTCAGTGAGAGCACTAGGTTAGCTATATACCTAAGCATTTGGTGGTGACGATTTCTGACAGAGTCCCAGAATTCACTGTAGCTCCATTTTCAGAGAAAGCTCCCAGCAGTTATTAAAACACTCTTCAATATTTTGACTTTTAAGTAGGCTTGTGTGTTTGTTCTTATGTGCGCACACACGAGAACAAGTACGGGCAGAGGCCAGAAGAGGGCGTCAGAGCTGGAGTGACAGGTGTGTGTGAGTCTCCTGACGTGGGCACTGGCCCTGAACTCAGGTCCTCCGCAAGAGCAACACACACTGAACACCTGAGTCATCTCTCCAGCCCTTAGAACACTGACTTAAATGTAAAATTCACCCGAAGCATGGCTGTCTGCAGTCTCTGTACTTAGAAAAATAATTTTTAAACAGTCCCAATCATTAGTTCTGCTGTGCTTAAACCTACTGTTGGCGCCATGGTATATGCGGGTACGTGTGCACACTGTTGTTCACCTTAGTTGTTGAGACAGGGTCGTTGAGTGAACCTGCATCTTGCTGTCTCAGGTGGGCTGGTTGGCCAGTGAGCCCCTGAATCTGCCTGTCTCCACTCTCCAGCTACTGGCTGGGTTTTAAGACACTTTTCCAAGAAAAAAAAAAAAAAAAGCCAATGGTTCTTGGTGTTTAAAAATGTTTCCCAGGGCTACCATTCAGTGGTAAAGTACCCTCCATGCACTAGGCTTTGGGTTTAATTTCTGGCACTGAGAAGAAAACCATTTCCCAGCTGTTCCATTAGTAGGTATGTTCTATTAGTAGGAGAGGTATGTTGTGCGACAAAGGCACGCAGCATGGAAGACGCCCCTCAGAGATCCTCAGCTTTGCGTTCTGTCCTTTCGTCCTCTGTCTGGGATGAGGGAGTTTATTGCCTATGACCCTGGTATTCGGGACTTCCTGGCTGAGGCTGTGGCACACTCCAGTAAAGCCCTAACTGTCCAGATTTTTTTTTTTCATTCAGTACAGTGGTAAAGACATGAATCAGAATGAGGAGCACTTTTCAACTGGCCACTACAGCTTGATGTCGGGAAATCGGCATCCAGGAACCTGCATTCTGTTCAGATGATGTATGAGATGTCTGGGCCAGCCTGGAGCACTGCCTGCCAGGGTGCGGATGTGTTTTGCTGTCTCAGTAGGTGGGAGGTTCTCTGTCTTTGGCAGATATCCTCCTGCACCAGAATGCATCTGCTTCTGACTCTGACTCTTGGCTATTTTCACCATGTATTCCTACCGCAGATAAACCTAGAGGTGATTAATTGCATCAGAATCCATTTTGAACACCTATTGTGTGCTCAGAGATAAATAAAATATGGTTCTTCCTCCTGAGCAGGCACAGGAATAAGGAGAGAGCGAATGCTGTTTTGCAGTTGAGATAGATGAATAAGGCCACAGTTCAGGGAAAGATTGGCTGGACGGCTAAAAGTAACTGAAGTTCCTAAGTACTGGTGTGCCTTCTATCTGCGATTTAGGTAGTAAATGAAGGTGTCCTTGTATTGTAAATTCTTCTAATCTGAGTTTCCCTGGTGTATAAAATATGAAATTATTACTTCAGCACTGCTAGTACATTCTGTGCTTCCCTGTTCGGGTGAGATTATGCACAAGCGTGTCAGTGAGAAATGGACAGACGTTCTCTGGGGTATGACTCAGACAGAAACATGCCGGCTGGCATTTGGAGATCACAGTTCCCTTGGGCTTCCCTGCAGTGTTTCCTGGGAGGATTGAGATCTGTCTGTCCCACTTACCATTTCATCCGATACTAGAACAGTTCCTTGCCTGGCCCAATGCCTCATGCCTCTGTTCCGCTACTGAGGAGACTGAGGCAGGGTGATCCCAGGTTCAAGGTCTGTCCTAGGCTGCATGCCGAGTTTAAGGGTAGCCTGGGCAGCTTAGTGAGATTGTATGTCTGAAAATCAACAGTAAAAGTAGGGCTAAAGGTATAGCTCAGCAGTAGAGCATTTGCCTAGCATGCATGAGGTGTTAGGTTCAATCTTTAGTACTACATACATACACACACACACACACACACACACACACACACACGTACACACACTCAAATTTAACAATTGGTATATATTTCATCAAGGAGTAGATTTTTTTTTAAATGTCTGCTATTCATAATAATGAAAGCATAATTTTTACATTAACATATTTTCCTCTTCATCATCTATATGAAATTTATAATCTTAGAACTGTTAAGGGGAATATTTTCTTCAAAAATATTCTTACCACAAATAGATTTAGAGGTTATTGAGTACGTTAGAGCCCATGAACATCAGCTGTATGCCTGCTTGTGACCCCAAACTGAGTGAAGTATGGTTTTGGTCCCCAGAGGGCCACAGCGCAAGTATGGGGTGAGGCTGGGTTTGTGAATTGGCAAATATGGATTAGAGAGTCAACCTATTTTTGTTTGTTTGTTTTTGTTTTTGTTTGTTTGTTTGTTTTAGCCTAGTAGAGTGATTCTGATAGTATTGAAGGTACCATGATAGATCCTAGGAGATAGTTTGGGATAGAAAAGGGGTCCCTCTTTTCTGCGATGAGAGCCATAACTTATGCTCCTGAAGTTGTAGCCAAAAGAGGATCTTTAGGTTAAAACAATGAAGACTGTACACTTTAAAAATATAAAAAGATGTACAGAGCACATGCAGAGGTCTAGGCATCGCCAGTTTTGCAGTCCCATGTGTGTGGTGTGTGTGTGTGTGTGTGTGTGTGTGTGTGTGTGTGTGTGTGTGACCATGTGTAAATCCTGTCTTATAAACCAACAGGTTCTTGAATGATGGTTCACAGGGCTCTTCCCTTCCCCTTTCTCATAGACCCTCTCTCTTCCCACCTCTGCTGTTCTGAGAGCATCTCATTAAAAAGTAAATCAAAAGCACGAGACAGGGCTTAGAATACACTCATCTGCAGCTGCTTGCCTAGCTTCATGAAGATGCTGTGCTCCAGAGGAAGAGTCTGGAAAGGCAGACTGATATGAGCCGGGGTGCTGGGCTGTTCTGTCATATAGCCAGTGTGCAGAACCAGAGCAGGTCCTCCTGCACCTATAAACCCAACTCCTACACTTAGATGGCAATTGTATTCCTCCTCTGTAACTAGATCAGTTGCCTACATGACATGGAGTTTTGCCAGAAGCTACAGAAGGTGGGAATTCATCCCTTTGCAGCTGGGGGGAGTAGGGGTGCAGGGAGATGGAGGAGCTTCCAGAGAGAAAGAGATGTAGGCGCCAAGATGGAATATGGCCACATCAAAGGAAGCCTCCTTCACATCCCTCACCGCTTGGCATCAGGTAGTTTTTGGCTATGCAGTGGGAAGATGGATACATTTGTGAGTCAGTTGGAAATTTAAACTACTTACATAGCTCATGGAATGACAAAAATATCTTTAGCTCACACTCAACAGCTAGCTTTTAGCTTGCAACCTAGTTAAAATTTGGAACTTGCTTTGTTTAGCTTTCTGTTTTATTTCTTTCTTCCCTTTTGGTTTTTTGAGAGGGTTTCTCTGTGTAGCCTTGGCTGTCCTGCACTCGCTTTCTAGATCTTCCTGCCACCCTAAATACTGGGATTACAGGCATACACCACCATGCTTGGCTTTTGTTTAGCTTTCAAAAAATCATTCTAACTTAAAAGGACATTATACCAGGGCCAGCCAGGGCCAAGGAAAGTAATAAACAAAGGAGGACACGAAACCCTTGTCCAAGCATTGCCAAGATGTCAGTGATTCCCCGAGATTCTCATTCTCTCAGCATCCAAGTTAAAGCAGAAAGACCAGTGAGTGTAGACAACTCTCAGACAAATTTAACTGGTAAAATTGGATGGAATGTGTATTTTTAAGTGCATTTTGGGTGGTTGGGTGTGTGCTAAAGAAAGCTCTCTTCACTGCTTTGCTGTGTTTTTAATGTTTGTTTTTGGGTTTTCAGTATGGTGCTCCTGGCATTTGCATCTCACCCCACAGGTAAGCCACCCCAAGGTTTATTTCTAATCCTTGCTCAACCCAGGACTCTCAACCTGGTGAGATCGCTGAAGACATTCTGTAAAAGAGTATGAGGGTATGAATGGTCCACAGATTTGAAACTACATTTAACCCGCTGGGTGGGTGGGGAACTTGGCTCAGTGGTAGAATACTGCCCAGTATGTACAAGGCACTGGGTTGATCTCAGTGCTGCAGAACAGGAAGGTGCAAAAATATTCCACTGTGGATTTAGTGCTCATGACTTTATTTTTATCTCTGTTTTTTAAATTGTTACCTTGTAATATTTCGATATTTGAAATTCTTAAATGAGTGCACAAAATAGGCTCTATAATGGCATTTTCATACATACATATCATTACACATTATCATTACCTCACTCCACCACCCCTTCTCCCTGTCTCACTCCCTGTCTCTTCCCCCTAACAGTCTGTCTCCCTTATTCTTTCATGTCATGTGTGTAAGTTTATATATTTTAAGCCTAGAATCTGCATATGAGAAAAAAATCATGGGATAGTTATCTTTCTAGATTTGGCTTTTTTTTTTTTTCTTAATATAATGAGTCTGTCCACTTGGCATAATATTTTCCTTTATGGCTAAATGAAACTCCATTGCGTTGTAGTGTACGCACACTGTGTATTTGTGTGTGTGTGTGTGTGTGTGTGTGTGTGTGTGTGTGTGTGTGTGTGTGTATGAGAGAGAGAGAGGGAGAGAAAGAGATCGATCATAGGTATAGATTGGTCTGTCACTTGTTTGCACTCTTTTAAAATTCCTTCCCTGGATATCCAAACTGCTCTTCTGTGCTGGTTCTAAAATATTTGGTGAAAAAGTTCAAATTCATTCTATTTTAGTTATTCTAAAGTTGTCTTTCTAATTTAGGAATTTCCCCAAATGCTGTTTTCTCTCATGCAGCTTTATTTATTTATTTACTTTGAAAGGTCTTAAAGTCCTGTTTTCTGTTGCTAATAACACAAAACTTTAGATTAGATAAATTGTTTTTCAAAAGAGGCTTATTTTGGTTCCTAGTATTGGTCCAGGGTCAGAGGGCCACTTCCAGTGAGGCTTTCTTGGTAGATTACGAGGGTTTGTAGGGTCAGAGCCTGGGTCCTAGCAGCCCAACAAGCTAGGCTTGGTTACCAGTCAATGGGCTAGGTAAGGAGGTAAGTAACTGTGAAAAGCTGTTCATCAATGTAGCCATGTTAGGAAGAGGAACAGATAAAGAGGTTCAGCGAGCCGCCATACCCCTTCCCAAGTTGGAGTCCTAACATTAGGGTTAGTTTGTGCTTGCGTGTATATATACATATATATAGTCTCATGTCTGTACATGTGGAGGCCTGAGATAGACTGTCACTGGCCTGGGGGTTGCCAGTTAGCCTAGGCTGGCTCAAGCATCCTCGTGAGCCTCTCTGCGGCTGGGATTACAAGTAGACACTACCATGTGTAGCTTTTTTAGGTTGCTTCGGGAGATCAGACTTAGGCCCTTATGCTTGTATAGCATGTAACAGAGCCATAAGTGTCACTGTAAAATATCCTCATTTCTGACAAGGTGATCGAGTACACGTGCAGAACCCCAAAGTTCAGCCAAAGCATCACATGGGAGAGAAAGGCAGTCTGTGCATGTGTTTTGTCTGATCTCTGTCTTCCTACCAGGTGGTGGCGCACACCTTTAATCCCAGCACTCAGGAGGATCTCTGTGAGTTGAGGCCAGCCTGGTGTACAGAGCAAGGGCTACACAGAGAAACCCTGCCTGGGGGTGGAGGAAAAAAGAAAAGAAAACAAATCTACCAGTGTTAAATTGAGGGTGGGTGGTGCCTCCCTTTACCTTATTTTTTCCTAATTCCCCAAGATCCCACTTCCCATCATCTCTCTCTTTTTAAATCCTCCTTTCACTGCCCAAGGTGGATTAGGCTTGAGTTTTGGAGGGGACTTGCTCTTGGTCCTAGTGTTTTATCACAGCAACAGTAGCCCTAACTAGGATGCTGCTGAATGTCCTCACCATTGTCTCGTATTGAAAACACAGTATATCCTACAAAACTGTCAGCACTAAATGCTTTCTATTCATATGTACCGTTTGTCATCTGTCATTACAGCTCTTCATGCTTTTTGCCCTTAGTGATGTTTAAGGTGCCTCTTGCCTTTTAAATGGATAGTTCTGTTTGCAGGTTCCCCTCGCTTACCCATATTTACTCCCTGAATTTGTCCCAGTGGATTTCTCTCTCTCTATATATATATATATATATCTGTGTGTGTGTGTGTGTGTGTGTGTGTGAATATATATGAATATGTATTCAATCCAGTGAGACCTTTCTGTCCTTCAGCTGAGTGATTCTGCTTTTAAACTGGTCCCACAATCATCAGAGCTGGAAGGAATCGTAACAGTTACCCCAGACGCTACCAAGGTGGAAGTGAGGGAACGGAGCCTCGGAGGAGTGCCGTGCCATGACCAGGATGAGGCAGAGCGGGTGTGCAATGAGGGAATCTAGAGCTGAGGGCATCTGACCTTGTGGTCAGGTTGTTTTTAATTTCTGCTTTCCTAGGGCTCTGTATGTTACTATCAAGTGTCCTGAGCCAGGGAGTAAGTTTCTGGGACACTGTGACTTGCCTTCTGGAGCTGCTCTTATTTCTGCATTTTATCCTCCAGCTTTCAGACTTTGTTGCTGATAACAATTTATCTGTTCTGGCTGCTGATCCAACATTTTACCTTGAGTTGCTTGAGTGTTCAGCTCACTACAGTAGTACTGTGGATGGGTGGCTGCTGTGTGGGTCAGCAGCTTGAGCTTGTGGAATGGCTTGCACAGAGGAATTATCTTACATCAGCATCAGCTTCTTTTTTCAGGGTATGCAAATGCTCTATAATTAGATAGTAGTGGTGATTACACAGCTGTGGGCATATTGAACCCCCAAAAGTGTACATTTTCCAAGGGTAAATTTTATGGTATGAATTATATCTCAATCAGAAACTATGTTGAAGGCAAAAAAGAAAACTCTCTAATTTGAGAACTCTCTAATTTGGAGTGTGGTCACACTAAAAGAGGGATAATTATCCTTCAAATTATATTTGTAGAGGTATGGGGTGTGGCTCAGTGGTAGAGACTTAGAGACTTGCTTAGCATATTTGAGTTCTGGGTTCAATCCCTAGAATGAGTGAGTGTGTGTGTGTGTGTGTGTGTGTGTGTGTGTGTGTGTGTGTGTATGTGCGCATGCACATGCTATAAGCTTGTCATACAAGAGGAGTCCTGTTTGTGGCTTCAGATTAACCAAAGTGGTGTCATTGAAGAGTCTTGGCACAGGAAATTTAGTTCATGAGAAGGATTTTTTCAGAGCTAATGATTGGCTGTGCCCCTTATGTCAATAACAGACATAGCTTCCCTTACTGTAAACAGCTGAGGCTCCCTAGGAGATGAATGCCCCCAAACTTCAGCATCCCTTGTCCTGGATATCTGAGTGCCGTAGCAGGGCTCCTGCAAGAGACCTGGCAAAGGTAGGTGTGGGGTGACAAACAGCTGTTGGCAGCATTCCCGAAGAAGCTGGATTCTTCCATGTATACTAGAAGCAGGTTCGTGATCTGATTCTTGAGCGGTGACATTGTAAGCCACTGCCTTCCTTACATATTGGGTAATGTGAAGGTGTTTTCTCTTTCTCTTTTGTGTGTATATATGCATGTATGCATACATAGTTTACATGATTGTGTGGGGTTGTGACGTGTGCGTGAGTAGGTGAATGAAGGACAGGCGAACTTTGGGTGTCATTTCTCAAGACATCATCCACATGATGATGTCTTTGTTCTTTTGAGACAGGGTCTCTCACTTTTACCTGGGACTCGCTGATTCAGGCAGGCCAGCTGGCAGGCGGAGCCTCAGAGCGTCTCCAATTTTAGGATTACAAACATGCCACCATGCCTGGGTCTTTTTAGATGGGTGCCTGTGTGGCAGGCACTTTACTGGCTGAGTCATCTCCTTAGCTGCAAGCTTTACTCTTTTTTCCAGAATGGTCTGTGTGTGGTCACCAAGATTGTATTTGTCACTTTCTTAGAATTTTGTTTGTTTGTTTGTTTGTTTGATTGTTTTTCAAGACAGGGTTTCTCTGTGTAGCCTTGGCTGTCCTGGACTATCTTTGTAGACCAGGCTGGCCTCGAACTCACATCCTATCCAACTGCCTCTACCTCCGTGAGTGCTGGGATTACAGGTGTTCGCCACTGTGCCTGGTCTTTTTTAGAACTTTTACAAATTGTGTATTAAGAATCCTTAAGAATGGATGTGTCTGCTTCTCCTTTCTCCTATCTGGTAAGTTCCATAGACTTCAAACCTTAGTAGCAATGAAGTTTTTCGTTGAGTACCTGTGTGAAAGGAGGCTCTCTGAGTAGTAAAAATCTTAAGGAGAGTAGAAAAGCTCCTTAAGAAATGTAAGTGAAAACAACCTTACCAGGTGAATAGCCTTGACCTTTGGGAACTCTCAGAGCTACACAGACAACTGTAGTCTATATGAATCCTCAGAATGGTGCAGTCTGTAAGTTCTACAGCTACACGGTGTCAAAGTCTCTCAGGAATCATCAGGTGCTTTCTTTTATTTCTTAGAGCAAATGACAGATGGTATGTAACATCACAGAAGTTCAGTGTCGTCATTTCTGTTCCTGCTGCTGTGACAAAATACTCTGACAGAAGCAACTTAAGGGAGAGAGGCTGTATTCTGACTCAGAGTTCAAGGGTCTGTCTGTCACTGTGTGGAAGCCAGAGTGACAGAGCTAACCACATCCCACCTGCCGTCAGCAAAAAGAGAACAATGAATGCCTGTTGTAGCTCAGGTCAGCCCTGCCTCTATTTCTACAGTCCAGAATCCCAGGCAGGGGATGGTGCTACCCACAGTGGGCTGGTCCTTCCCACCACAGTATGATTAAGAATCCTCCCACAGGCGTGCCAGAGGGCAAGTGCCCCCGTAATTCCACATTCTAACAAGTTCACAGTTAACAGTAACTGGCACATTCAGAA